ACTCTACATTTACCCTCTAACTCTACATTTACCCCTCTAACCCTACATCTACCCTTTAACTCTACATTTACTCCCCGGTGCTACATCTAGACAGGGTTCTACCGGAGCTTTACAAGGTTCCACCTACAGAACATGATGTTAGTCAGAAACCTTGTTGTGAAACTCTGGTACATAATGTTCTGTGGCTTTGCAGAGCTGTTCAGTTGTCCAGCAGATACACTGAATGGATTTTAGTAACTTTAATGCAGCTGATCAACTGGTCTGGTCCTCTTGCTGCAGGTTTAGCTGGTCATCATGGCGACGGACATCGGCTCGCCACAGCGGTTCTTCCACATGCCGCGCTTCCAGCACCAGGCGCCACGACAGGTGTTCTACAAGAGGCCAGACTTCGCCCAGCAGCAGGCCATGCAGCAGCTCACCTTCGACGGCAAGCGCATGAGGAAGGCAGTGAACCGCAAAACCATCGACTACAACCCCTCCGTCATCCGATACCTGGAGGTAACTCACCTGGTTAAACTTTCTGTAAACACACCACCCCTCTGTATTGACTGATGAGTGTATCAGGGGATGTCTGAACGTCATGTTTTCACTAAAATATGAAGTTTGAAGCTGGAAGCAGAGGACGTGTGCGTCAGAATGATTGATCATTCACCGGTTCGTCTGCCATCAGTCACATCAGCAGCAGCTGAGCAGCTTTGGTCTGTGTTGTAGAGTTGCATCAGTTTGCAGCGGGAATTATGGAGAGAAGAGAAATAAACTGTCTCCATCAGTAGCCTCCTGGTCAATTATTGATTAGTTTTGCTGATTGAATAAAGCTTTTTTTAAAAAAAAAAAAATATTTGTAAACATGAACATTTCAAGAAGTTTAGGTTCTGAAACTTGTTTCATATTGATCTTTTTTCCTCATCAAAGCAGAACAACAACAGACAGAGACTGTGAAAGATAAAGCAGCTTCACATGAGCTGCAGTCTACAGGTTTTTGACCCGATCTGTTTCCTCTGCAGAACCGGCTGTGGCAGCGCGACCACCGAGACTTCAGAGCGATTCAGCCCGACGCCGGCTGCTACAACGACGTGAGTGTTTCCTTCTTTGTGGAGCCCAGATTAAATCACACCAGGTCCCTTAAACGCCTCAGCGTTCCCAGTAGAAGCTGCAGTTTTCAAGTGATCCTGTTGTCGTCGGTTTGTCAGCCTGTACTTTTGCTCCTGTCTTTCTTTGTTGTTGGTGAATATGTGAGCTGAGCTGTGTTCTGTTCCTGTGTTTGTGGACTTCAACTCGTGTGACGGTGTGTTTACATGTAGGTAAAGCTTGTGTTTGTGTGTCTGTGCAGCTCGTCCCTCCTGTTGGCATGCTGAATAACCCCATGAATGCCGTCACGACAAAGTTCGTCCGAACCTCCACCAACAAAGTGAAGTGTCCGGTGTTCGTCATCAGGGTGAGTCGCTGCTTCTCTTTAAGTTACATTATTATGTTTACAACATGTTCACACTGAACGCACTGAGACAGCCGACCAGCTGTGAGGTGAGCATCTGGTGTTCATCCTCCATTAACCCCACAGCAGGGAAATGTGCAGACCTGAGAGACCTGTGGACAAGAACTGGAGATGGAGAGATTCTGCTGCAGCTGGACCGTACTGATGTTGTTCGTCTTGTGAATGTAGAACATGTCAATAATAGACAGGTTTGAATGTGCTGATGTCTTGTGCATATCAAGATGACGTGTTTCATTTCAGTTGGTTATAAATGACATCACAATGAGCAGAGAAAGGCTAAATCTAACCCTTTATTGGAACGTGTGAAGGAACACGGAGAACCTTTAGATGCGACCAGCAGTGAGATCCTGTAGAGATCAAGCAGCAAAACTGCACACTGAAGACAGCTGATCGGGTTCTGGTTCAGCCCGTCCAGCTGCATTGCACACTGGTAGTTCAACCAAACAGCAAGCTGGTTGTTGATTGGATGGTGGTGAGCCACGGGGAGCATGCTCCGTTATCAGGGATGTGATTGGCTGTTTATGATGCAGGACATGTCAGTGAAACTGTTTCTTCGCCTTCAAAGGCAGAAGGTGCTGCTGTGGTCGGCAGTGATGCTGATCAACGTTAATGTAGGATCAGAAACGAGACTAAAGCATCGCATCACATCTGGCGGAAGCGCTTTTATCTTTAATGAGAAGTTTCTGATGCAGTCAAGAAGAATCCTGGAGGTTTAAACTTACAGAGCCTGTTTCTAGGGAACCATGAGGAGGAGCAGAGAAACAGATGCTGATGAACTGATTTCAGGGCTTTAGAATCGTGGTAACGTTTCTCCAACAGGTTCAGGAGGATGTCTGAGGAACCTGCTGCTGCTCAACAGATGTTTGATCACAGTTCACCTGGTTTGTCTCCTCTGCAGTGGACTCCTGAAGGCCGCCGACTGGTGACCGGAGCCTCCAGTGGGGAGTTCACTCTGTGGAACGGACTCACCTTCAACTTTGAGACCATCCTACAGGTAAACATCAAAACACAGAACATGTTTGGGGCTGTCAGGGAGATCGAACTGCTTCAGACCAGAAAATTAGAAAAACTGGGTGTGTTCTGATCTGATCTCAAAGATCAGGCCATTCAAAGTGTTTTTTGGTGGATGGTGGGGATTCTAATGAATAGAACTTTTTTAGTCACTAATGTCAGCATTATCAATCAATATTCTCTTAATCAGTGACCCAAACTGATCACGGTGTATGTTTGTTCTGTGCTGATGTTGCTGTTTTAGTGCTCAGTCAGCTCAGTTTCATGTGTCACTGTGATGCCAGAACTCTGTTGTCGTCGGTCTCCGTTTGTTTTCCACACATTAACGCTGGTTGGAGGTCCTGAACCTCCTCAGAGTCTCTGTCATGGTCCCGTTGCTGCTAAACTCCCACAATGCTCTCTGCTGCCACCATGAGCTGTAGTCTGTAGACGCCTCCTCTGGTCTCTACAGGATTAAACAGTGAGAGGCTCCACCTGGTGGAACAACCAGGTACTACAGCTGGTCTATGATACAGTGACTATTTTACATTTACTTTACACCAGACGGGAGTAAAATCATTTGCGCAAGCGATTTATATGTGAAGTCAATGTGAAGACACGATTAGATGCGAGTACACGTCCCGCAGGGCGAATGACGCGAATTGAGCGAGTTATTCGCACAAACGCAAAAATTTGCATTGGATGCTTCATTCGTGCAAGTTGAAAAATCTCAACTCAAGCAAGCATTCGCGCCGCGATGGCCAATCAGCGTTGACGTCCTCTGGTGACGTATCCTGGCACCGATCCTCTCCAACAGATCGTCAAACTGGGTCCGGGTCAGCAGAAAATGGCACTGTGTGCGTCTCTGGAGGATCCAATCGACCTAATCGACTCGGACACGGCAGAGTCTGGACCCCCGTCGTTTCTGGGCCTCCCACAGCAGATACCAAGCAGCAGTGCTGTCGAGCACAACCATGTTTGATGATACCACACTGGACAACGGCAGGAAACGAGCAGAAATTCCTGGTGGACGCGTGATTGCCGCGATTTTTGATGCGCGGATGAAGCGAGTAAACTCAGTGCATACACACGTCCAAATACATGTGAATAGCACAATGAATTCGTGTCTGGTGGGAATACAGCCTCACAGCTAGAAGGTCTCCGGTTGGCGTCCCGGTGAGGACACCCGGGATCTTCCTGCGTGGAGTCTCCATGTTCTCCCCGTGCAGCGTGGGTTCTCTCCGGGTTCTCCGGCTTCCTCCCACAGTCCAGAAACATGCTGAGGTTAATTGGTGATTGTAAATTGTCCGTAGGTGTGAATGTGAGTGTGCTTGGTTGTCTGTCTCTAAGTGTAGCCCTGTGATAGACTGGTTACCTGTCCAGGTGAACCTGCCTTCACCCTGAGTCAGCTGGGATAGACTCCAGCCTCCCATGACCCCAGTGAGGGTTAAGGTGTAGAGATGATGGATGGATGTAGTGAATACAGGTTTTGTCCATCTGTTGGAGCTTGTGAAGCCTCAGTACAGCGTACCCTCTAGCACCACATTTAGACATGGTTCTACTGGAGCTTTACATCAAGCTTCCACCTACAGAACATGAAATTGGTCAGGGTTGGTCAGGAACCTGGTTGTAAAGCTCCAGCATGTAATGTTCTGTGGTTTTGCAAAACTGTTCAGTTGTCCAGCAGATACACTGGATGGATTTTAGTAGCTTTAACATACTTGCAGTGTGTGTTGTATCGGAAGGCAGAGTACACCTGGACAGGTGGACAGTCCATCACACCAACAGACAGTGTTGAGTCTAACTGAGCCGGTCTTTGGAATGTGAGAGGAAACTCCTCCCAGCTCAGGTCCAAACCCAGAACCTCACTTCTGTCCTGTAATGGATTAACAGGCTGCTGTAAATGTTGGCAACTAACTGGTGAACTGCTGCGTTTTTGGTCTGCTTCTATGATGTGTGGCTCCTGTTATTGTTCATATTTACAGCCTTCCTCCCCTGTCCTCCCCTGCAGGCCCACGACAGTCCTGTTCGGGCGATGACGTGGTCTCATAATGACATGTGGATGCTGACAGCGGACCACGGCGGCTACGTTAAGTACTGGCAGTCCAACATGAACAACGTCAAGATGTTCCAGGCTCACAAGGAGGCCATTAGAGAAGCCAGGTTTCTACTCATCTCCATTTTATGTAGTTCTCCCGGTCTGCAGCACCCCGCCGCGGCCACACGGGGGCATCGCCTCATGCTGTGTTTGTTGTGGTTCTTAACTGACAGATGTATGTGTGTGCTGCTGCAGCACTGCAGTGATCTGTTGTTCATATTCTATCTGCTGTGGCTGATGAGCTGTTTCTGTTTGTGTTAATAAAGTCACTGATCGCAGTGGTTTGGTAGGCCCAGTGCTGTGGAGCAGATCAATAAAGTGTTATCAGAGATCAATAAAGTCATTGATCCCTGGTTTGGTAGGCCCGGTGCTGTGGAGCAGATCAATAAAGTGAATAAAGATGCAGCTCTGCTCAGAGCTGCATATGTAAATAAAGGTTTGATGTGCACCTTTAACACAGAGCTCAGCCCACCTGGTTTCCTACGTTTCCCAGAATGCAGCTGGACAGCATCCCTCAAACTCCACACCTCCAGTTTGCATCGCAGATTGGACATTTGGAGCCGGGTGACGTCACTGTGACATCATCAGGGTACAGATGACGCCGCACAGCAGGCTGAGTGGGACTAGGCTCATCCAGTTAGGTGGTCCTGGTCAGTTACCAACTAACTAGGACTAGTAAACTGAACTTTATATGCAAAATCAGGAGCACTTGTACAGTGTGACGTCACACCAGCCTACGCTCTTGAAGTCCTCTGCAGGTGATGGTCGCCAACGCTGTCAGGTGTTCCTGTTAGTCTGTCCACCCCTGATCACCAGACAGGTGAAGCTACCTGAAACGTGCCGCTTTTTCACCCATGCTTCAGTCTAAAGAAAAAAACTGTTACCCTTGAACCAACCTGTTAGCCTAGCTTAGCACAGAGACTGGAAGCAGGGGCAAACTGTTTGCTGAGCTCAGCCCAGATGCTGGAAGCATGGGGGAGACTGCTAGTATAGCTTAGCACAAAGACTGGAAGCATGGGGGAGACTGCTAGTATAGCTTAGCACA